CTACTCCTTTGTTCCAATTGATCCGGTCTCTAGGTATTTGGGCTTCTTGATCTTCAAAATTGCCCGGAACCCAGAAGAAGTCATCATCATTTACATCCTTATCCGGGGTATTCTTTATTATTTTTTCACGGCGGCGCCTTATTCTTAAGTAATAGACCCATCCATCTTCGTTTGAGCCTAGGGAGTATTGATGGAATATTTCGGCTAGACCGAGGTTAATACCAAGCCGGCGGTTTAGCTCGGTGATGCCATTTATTATGCGGTAGGAATTTGTGGAAAGCTGGGTTGGACATAGATTTGTTTGCCTAAGGAATTCACAGAGGAGTGGCTGTACAGGGAATCGTAGGCCAGTTTCTACTATGGATACAAGTGTGAAAGGGACGAAGCCCGATTTTCCCTAGGGAGTAGTTTCTGGTTCGGCTAAGCTTAGGTGAACATCATCAGGGATGTTATAGTCCCTTCGGAACTTAACCATTGCACTTGGTGAGTTTACTAAGAACCTATATTTGCCCATGTGGATATAAATAAATTAAATACTGTGTACTAGCTCGGTCGTGAAATGATGCTGAGTAGCTCGGTCGAGCGCTCAAAGGAGTGCCTGGCCAACCTAAGTCTGCAAAGTGAAAAACAAAGGTGTTAAGCACAGATCGTGAGACCGTGCTACAAGAAACAAAGGCAAGATAGATGAAGTCCTAGCTCGGCTACAAGGGACACTATCAGTTTTAGCTCGGTTTGAGCAAGGGGCTTTAGCCCAGTTAGGCCTTTTGGGGCAGCATTCTTAGTTCGGTTTTAAACTAAGGAAGCTAGTTTGGCCCCAGGTTGTAGCTCAGTCGGTGTTTAAGGCTTTCTAGCACGGCATTACGTTAACCAAGCACGGTTCGATAGCTCGGTTAAAAGAAACAGAAGGTCCCTAACCTATTGAAACTACAAGTATGGCATGAAGTTTTAGTTCGGTTTTGGGTGTGGCTAGGCTTGCACCTAATACAAACAATATCCTAGTTCAGTTAGGGGTGTGATTTTGGATCAAATATAGTGTTTTTGACGCTATTCATGAATACAGTGGTTCTATCATAAGGTTTTCCCAGAAAACTGGAAGTGAAAGTGGTGTGTGTTTTGAAAAACATACAAATACACATGTTGTGTACTACAGAATAGGTGCGAGGTGAATAAAAAGGAAACAGATGTAAGGGCCACATTCCAGTCAAGAATGAAGGAGCTGAAGGTGAAATCCGATCCAATTGAGCTTTTGCAGATGGAGTATTGAGGAAAATGAACAACTCAGAAAGTAGAGAGAGAAGAAGGTGAATAGTGCTGCATTTGAAAAGTAGGGTTTTTGTGATACAATTCGAGTTTAGGCGGCACTATTCAAAAGTTGCAAAGTACGAAGAATGACGTGACAGCTATGCAGGGCCAATAAGAGTGTGCCACGTGTTCTGGGAATAAGAAGCGATTCAATTACAGTGACTGAAAAGACGTTTTGACCGGATAGATGGGTAGCCTGGTGTGAATTTAGTCTGGTTGGAAGATTAAAATTTCTAGCTCGGTGGGAAGGCTAAGGGTTTTAGCACGGTTAAGAAGCTAAAACTTTTAGCTTGGCTCGATACAGGTAATCCCTATCATGCTGCGTAGATGGAATTAAGGGGCAATTAAGAGGGTAATTTATATGTAAATTGGGCTGAGCTGGGTAATGGGCCGTTGTGGGCCACAGTAGGATGAGCTGAGTAACAAGGCCTTCAAAGTTAGTCTGGTCCAGGAGAGCCTAAAAGTTAGTCTGGTCTGAGAGGGCTTGGTAGTTAGCTCGGCCACCCTGCTCAAAGTTAGCTCGGTCATGGCGTATTGTGGTTAGCTTGGTCAAAACCTTGCTATTGGTTAGCCGGTCCAAGCTCGTTGTTGTTAGTGTGGTCTTAGACAGCCTGGTTGGAATATGACAAACCGAGGTACATGCAGTGAAAGGAAGAACCGAGCTAGTGGGAGCTCGGTCTAGTCTGCGGCTTTAGCATGGCCATGTTATGTCGGTCGTATTGACATCCAACCATAGTAGAACCATCTCACTTAGTTTAAGCAGTGAGGGGGCGTTGAAGGATAAGTATTATCTTTCAGGAATGTGATTCCTAGGAGGACTCTACATCGAGGAGTACGAGTCCTACTAGGATTGTGCCACACGGAACCTATAAAAGCTCACAACATCACCTATGGAGAGGTAACACAACTTTGATCCTCGAATACACAGAGCTTTTTGTCTATTTGTCTATTTTGCTGACTTAGGCACCGAAGAGGTATCCGGCACACACCCGCCGGCTAGCTCACGTTTGTGTTCTCAGAGAGTAAAGCGACGTCGTACGAAGGAGCGCAAACTTGATCAACAGGATTATACAAGAATATTATTTCGTGCTCGTATAGTTTTGTAATGGTTAAATAATTCATATTGTTTAGTAATTTTCTTAGTTTTCTTAACTTTTTTTTTTAAAACTTCATATAGGAAGACTTTTTTGATGATTTTTTTTTATTTAAAGAAAGAAACTGAATGAAATTTTTATTTGTAATTTTAATTTCGAGTAACCCAATTTTTATTTTTTATTTTTAAAAACATAGATTTTGAAAAAAAAAAATCAACATAATGAATTAAGTCAAGGAGTAAAAGGAATAAGATTTTCTTTTTGGGGTGGGGACTAAACTGTGATAATTTTTAAAATTTTCACTTTTAGCTTGTTTTATGAAATAAGTTTTTTTTTCTTTCTTTTTTTTACTTGTTGATATTTGAAAAATGACAAAATGATTTTTATAACTAAAAAAACTATAAAAACTAAAAAAATTACTTTAAATACCTTAGGCACATGAGGCCTTAATTACATACTTGTGGGCTAATTTTCAATGTTCAAAAAATGTACTCAAAATTTTATTCATATATATATATATATGATTCAAATTGTAATGTGAAGAATTTACTCTAGATCAAATTCTAAGTATTAATATGTAAGTATCAATTTCTACAAAACTCATTACTAAAGCTATTCCAAATTTTAACCCTAAACTACATTCCAAATTAATTTTACATATTTGTAATACTCTTTTCTATGAATAGAGTTTTTCATTAAAAGTAAATGAATAACGTTTTGTTCTTTGAGTGCATCTTCAATGAACAAACAAACAAACAAAAATAAAAATGAAATGTAAAAACGTGAAAATAATACCATTATAAAAATATCAAATTATTCTGCACTTATAAACAAATCTTACATTCTAACGAAGTTTTATTGAATAAATCATATAATAATGGCATTTGATTGAGCAACACTGTAAATACATTATCTCCTCTTTCGTTTTTTGGTCCATATAGAAGTTGTGGAATGAATGTTTGTTTAAGGGAGCTCATCCTAATATTCAAGTTTTATGCGAAAAGATTAAAGTGCAGATAGCTTTGTGGTCCAAAATGGCTCTTGAAAGTAGATTATTCAGTGCATGACATTGTATCCAACCTCCACCAGGTCAGGTTTGCTATGTTATTTCAGTTATTGTTTCTTTGACTTTTGGTCTTTCCCATGGTTGGTTTCTTGCCAACTGTTGGGGTGTTGGGGTGTTTCTTGCCAACTGTTGGGTCCTCTCTTGTTGTTCACTAAGTGGAATCAAGTTGCTACATTTCATCAATCTATGTGCTGTTGTTAGCTCTGTAACTTCCCTTTTATTGATGTATCCTCATACTTTGTATGCTACATTTCATAAATAAAGTTTTCTTTGCTTATCACCAAAAAAAAAAAAAAAAATGATGTTGCTCTTATCCTCTCTTTGTTAATATTTTCTTGTAAGCTTTGTTTCATTTGAATTTATTAATAAAGTTTTTCTTTGCCAATCAAAAAACAAAAAAAAAAAAAAGTTTGTAGAGGCAGGGCAGAAAGGAAAGCCCTTACTTGGGCCTAAATAATTTTTTTCGTATATATATAATAATTTTGTCAAATTACCAGTAAAGGGTAATTTCCCCTAATTTTATCACCAAATTGACTTGGACAGCCATCATTTCTAATCAATGGCACCTCCCTTCAAGTTAATTGACATTTGATGCCCTAAAGCACCCTTCGTTTCGTGGACAATAGTTTGTTAATACAACGGTAAAATAGTAATTTCCTTGAGGTGGCCAAACAATGGCAGTGAATAATTATAAACGGTACTATCAAAAAATTATTACAGAATCATGAAAAAATTATAATTATAATTATTAATATGTATAAAATTTACCAATTATTTGTAATTTTTTTTTATAAAAATTTAAATTGGATTCAAATTTTCCCTAATTGTAGCAAGACACAAACTTTCGATATATTCAAAAATAATAGTGTAATCTTAATTTAGCAAAAATGACTTATTACTGAGGGTTAATGACCAACCCACTAATCTCTCCACCACCATTTTTCTACTTTTGTCTGAGAAGAGAAGCTGAGGAGTTACACTCACCTATGAATCTCAGCCGTTGGATGAACCTTCAGATCAACGGTTTCCAACCCTTGTAGTAGCTCCAAATAAGGTTTTTTACTATAATCTCTCTTTGCCCAGCTCTTGTGTCTTTACAAGTAGGGAGAAGAAAAAACACAAAAAAACACCTTCCATAAATCAAAGCAATCTTGTTGCTTGAAAACAGCCCTTTTTCTTCTTGTTTTTTGTCTCCTTCAAGCCTCTCTTTCATGGAAGGTGTTGGTGGTGGTGGTTTTGGATATGTGAATTTACAAGACAACCCTTCTTTATATAGACCTAGTCCTCCATTAACAGCCATAGAGAGGTTCTTGTCAAGCAAGAACAACCATTTCTCTCACAAACAGACTCAAAACAATGTGCACAACCAAGGACTGCTCGTTCCGGCAAGCGTGTACGGTGGTTTTTCTTCTTCTTGTGGTGCAATTGGTGGCTACTGAAGCAACTTTTTGGGGCCAAGTTTTCCGGAGAAGAGCTTCATGGATGGGCTTTTCCATGATAGTGAGACTCTTAAATAGACATATGAGATAGATCCTAATATGGGCTTGAGTGAAGATGACAAATCAACAGAGAGGAATTGTAAAGGAGTGGCAAAGAGAGCAAAATGTGGCTCTTCTACAACTACTCTGATCAAAGAACAATGGACAGATGAAGAAGATAAGTGATATAATTCATAATTTTTAATTTTTACCCTTCTTTTAGTCTCATACATCCTGGGGTTTAAATATCTATCTTCTGATAATGATATATCAATCGATATTGTCTAATATCAGCCCATATATGACAGTATTGCTTTTACTAAATCCACATATGTCTACTCTTTACATGAAATTGCAGTTGATATTGAAGATTTCTATGATTTTGTTTTTGTGAAGGAAACTGCTCAATTTAGTGACGCAGCATGGAGTGAGAAAATGGGCTCAAATAGCAGAGAATATGGTTGGCAGGGCTGGAAAACAATGTCGGGAGCGGTGGCACAATCATTTGCGCCCTGATATCAAGGTCTTTTTTCTTCACCCTTTTCCTAATTTGAGGTTTTGTCCGAACCACTGAGTGTGGTTTGGTTTCTGTTAAATTTTGCTTTACTTTTTGCAAAACTAATCATCAAACAATTGTGTTAGATTTCTCATAAAATTCTATGAGAGATATCTAAGAACTGAGATTTGGTTTCGGTTTGTGTGATATTTTTCAAATAGTCAAAAGAGAAAAACCCTAGGTTGCCTTATCTAGTTTAATTTCCTATTCTCAACTCTTTTTCTTTTTTTTAATTATATAATTTTATATCTTAAAAGTTAGAGATATAGGATTTAGATTGCCAAAATTTCATCAAGGTGATTTGTCGGTTCATCTCTTCATGAGTTTTCTTTTGATATTTTATATTTGGTAATTAATGAAAAGTTTCATTCAAAAAGTGGATTAGAGTTTTGTTTTACATGTCATGGGCTTGACATGCAGATCTTATGGTGAGTTTGGTGCTGTTCACACCATCTGACATCTCTCCTTCTATTGTTTTTTTAAAATTTTAATCCGCGAAAGTTAGTGACATTTCTTCTTCCATCAAACTATCTAGACATGTTGGTTCATGTTTAGTATTTTGTTATTATTTAAACAAAAATGCTATGAACCTTTCTTATCAACTCATAATTTATCACAAATATATATGTGGTGGAGATTAAATTGATGAAATGTGAATACATGAGTAAAATGAATTTCAACTATTAGCATTCTTTTTTGAGTAAAATTTGAGTTCATAAGTATAAATTTATAATATTGTTGTTATTTAAATATACAAACCCACGTTATATGTTTACTTGGCAGTTAATATAATTCCTCGTGAGACAAGGGCCTGGGGATTGTCTTTCATATGAGCACTTTGACATGCAAAACTTATAGGGTCAGTCCAATGTCTGTTTATACCCTCTCAAATTCCTCCTTGCACCCACTTTTTCTCAGTGTTCACTTTCATGTGATATTGGAACCTTTTCTCCCTCAAAGCATCAATTTTGTTATAAAAAGGTTCACATTTAATGTTTTCATAAATAATATAGCGATCCTGGTTCTTTCTCCTTTGATTGTTGTATCCGGACTTGGGTTTCGTGGAGTTGGTTGTTGTATATATCGTGTTGTCATCCTTTGATTCCATATATTTGAGTTTTAGGATGTGTTCGGCAAGGTTGTTACAGGTTGGTTGAGTTTAAGTCTCAAATCTTGTTGCCCAGAGTTTTGGTGATCCACTCGAGCGGGTCCTTGTGCGCTCGAGCGGAGTTTGTACACTTTCAGTATCTTGTGCATCTGCAGAAATACTGGAAGATTGTTTTTCACGCTCGAGCGGCATTTCTTACGCTCGAGTGGGTCACCCTCGAGCGGGTATCCTTGCGCTCGAGCGGGTGTTCGAAGTCTATAAAAATACTGGAGGAGTGCAATCTACACTCGAACGGGCTTTCCCCTGCGCTCGAGCGGGTGCATTTTAGTTTTGTGTCTTGGAGCTCGAGCAGGTCATTTTGCGCTCAAGCGGGTCCAGTTTTTGTGTTTGACACTCAAGCGCCCTATTCTCCGCTCGAGCGGACTAGTCGTATATCAGATGGCAACTGGGTGATTTTGAATCACTTTTCACATTTCCTTTCTCTCTCTTACTTTTCTAAAACCTCTTTTGAGAGCTCCTCTCTCTAGAATATACCTTCTCTCTAAGGTTTGATCTAGTTAGAGTGATCTCCCACCCTTGTCCCTTTGTAAAAAGTGTGGAGTTTGTTGTGGGCTATCTATCAATCCAAAAATTTCTTGGTTTGGAGCACTTCGAGATTTCATCATCTTCTCCATTGGGTTTCATCTCTTGAGGTAGGGATTCCTACTCATGTTTATGAGCTTTGACATAGATGTTGAGTTTTTTTGTATAAATGGTTTGATTTGGGAAGTTAGGGTTTGAGGTGTGTAACATTGAAAAGAGGGGTTTTGTGATTTTAACCAATAAACATGTAATTTGGGTCTTAAAAGAGGGTTATTGATGTTGTTGGTAACATTTGGACCTTTGGGTCAATATTGAGAAAAAGGGGGAAAATGCCATGTTTGGGTATATTTGGGTCATTAGTGTAATTAATGACATTTATTATGAAAATATGAAATTGAATCAGAAATAGTGTAATTGGCTCATTATGAGATAGAATGGTGGAGTTAGAATTATTAATCACTCACCTTGAAAATTGTTGATAATTTATCTGTTGGATGTAATTATTATTTGTTTAGAAATAATTATTTTGGGCTATCGGTTGAGGATAGTCTTGATTGTTGTAGACAATGCATGATGATTAGGTGAACTAAAACTAATCTATTTAGAATGCCATTGAGTATGGCGGTTGGTATAGTACATTAAATTTATGTATTGATTGATAATGTATATGATATGTGTTTATATACATTGTGTTGTTTGGGAAGAGATAGGGAATGTACACCACGGTTTAGGGGAAGATAGGGGATGGACTCCATGGATACAACAAATATGTGTATCTATTGAAGTATTGATACAGCGAATCTGTGTATCATTTATGAAGTATGAAAGTGTTAATGTGTTATTAATACAGCAAATATGTGTATTTATTGAGAATTACAGAATTGTTTTGATATGAGTGTTCTCTCATTTGAAAATGAATCGTGGATAAGGATAATGTTTTAACATGAGATGTAGTTTCATTTAAATTGTTTGGCCAGGTTCTGAGCCACGTTGATAAATTGAAAACTGTATAAGTAAAAGAAAGTGGAATGACACATAGCTTATTTGTCATGGAACTGAATGTGTTATAGGTTGGTTTATATGAGTTAAACATTTATCAAATGCTAATGTTTTAGTTATTGCTCATATTATGTTTAGCATATCTCTACTGGGCGTTGGCTCACCTTATATGGGACATCATTTTCAGGTGCAGGTGATATGCCACCTCCAAGGACGTAGCTTGGAAGGCTTGAGGCTGTTAGACTCTGTTGCTATTTTTGTTGTATTACATGTATATCAAGCCAAGGACTTATTTTGTGTAGAGTTAGTACTCTCCTTTTGTAACCAAGTGTTGGCTTGGAAAGTTGTAAGCTCATGGGGCATTTACTTTTGATGTCAACATGTAATACATTCGTAAGAAATACTCTGATGAAATGAAATTATGCTTTACTCTATTATGTCTAAGCATGTTAATATTGTATGATTTATGGGTTTATTTTGAGGGCGTTACAGATAAGTTCTTATAGTGCTACATAGCAAAAAAAAAAAATAAATAAAAAAAATAAAAAAATATAAAATGATGTGATAAATTTTAATTTTATCATTTTAAAACAAAAAATTCATCAACTTGACTTGTACTTTTAAAAATGCCACTACCACATTATTCTAATCAAGAATTTTGTACAAAAAATTTATAAAAATATCACTTTTCTTTACAACAAAGTGTAATATTGATTTTTCTATATACGTTTCTATGAATTTTTGTCTACAGTGCACATAGCATTATTGAAATTCTTATTAGAGTTTGGTACTTTTTTTGTTATTTTATTTTATTTTTAATTTTCCCTTATGTATATTGCATTGTTTATAATACACAATGTGGCGCCCTTGTTTTTATTTATTTTTTATTAGAAAGATACTTGGATTGAAGAAGAAGAGAGCATATTGGTTGAAGCTCATAAGAAAGTTGGCAACAGATAGGCAGAAATTGCCAAGAGAATACCGGGAAGGACCGAAAATTCAATAAAGAATCACTGGAACGCCACCAAAAGAGAGCAAAATTCAAAAAGGAATAACATCAAGAAACCACAAGGTAGCCAGAATGGGAAGTCTCAATCTCTACCCTCCATACTCCAAGACTACATCAAAAGCATGAATCCATCTAATAGGGCCGCCACCACCACTGGCTCCACCGTCACTGAAGACTTCTCAACCCATTTTGCTCCTCTCGAGGACTTATCTGATTCCTCTATTGATGACTCTCCATAGTTTTTGAACAAAGCATTTGATGATGAACTGAACTTCATGATAAATTTCTTCGGTACCAAAAATGAGCAGCCTCTGAATGATAACAACAATTCCAAGGCTTCAATTGAGGCAAAAACAGCTCAAAATAATCATTCTAATAGTGTTTCTGCCTTAAATCCGCTCAAATTACTCAACAACACCAATGGTGATGATTAGCTACTTAATGATATGGTTGCTGACACTAACATGTTCATAAATGCCCCAAATAAAGAGCTTCCAATAACCCATTTCTCTTCTGACATTTACCATTCTTTTCTGTTGGATGGATCATCCAATGCTTTGCCTTTCATTGATAACTACTGTAATATTATTGATAATAACTTCAAAGTGGATTGCTTGACTGGTCAAGCTTCTTTTAGTGGGAGGAAAGATATGGATTTGATGGAGATGGTTGTTTCTTCTCATTAGTTCTCTATGGGTGTCAATGCTATCTTCGTGATCTGAGTAAGTTCTCCTCTCTAGTTCTTTTTTCCTTTTCTTTAATTCTACCGAAAATGTATGTACCAAAAGCCACTTTGAAAATGAAGTATGGTTTTAAGTATTGATTGATATGTATTTTATTGGAATAAAAATTACATATGTATTGTCGATTTTTTATACGTATGAGTTGATAGCCAATGCATTTAGTTTTAGTGGCATAAAATTTCTTTTTTGCAGCTATAAGTTCACGTTGATTTTTTTTCTTGAATGATCTACTTAAAATGAATTAAAAATTGAACGATGCACAAATAGACTTGAGATGGTCAATGCAAAAATAGACTTGAGATGGGCCCACAATATCTTGACTTGAGGAAAATCATGAAATGCGAACTTCATGTGAAGTGAATCACATCCAAAACAAATTTGGTCTACACATTTTATTATTGTAGACACCCCATTTTTGACCATCCTCAAGACTTGGACGTCATCGTTTGAACACTCGATGATCATCCATGCTCGTGTTCATTTTGAGTTCTCGGGGGTCTCGGCTACGCGCCTTGCCTCAAGATCTCTCAACTTATCTGTTTTGTGCTTGGTCATGGACCAAACACTTGTGTTTTTGCTTTTGAGGGTGGGAAATAGCTTGTTGGCCATCCCCACACCTCACCGGCCTTGGCTTGAGGCCACTGGCCCCTTTTTGTTGCTACCGGCCATTGGTGATGGCCGGTTGGCATTGTTTTTGGCCGGCCGGCCATTGTGTTGGTCAATCGGCCATTTTTTCTGGCCGGGACTTCTTTTTTGCCTTTTTTGGCATTGTGCATGCCAGCTGTGCCAGCTGGAGCGCACAGACCTGTCCTTCATACACGTGTATGGAGGATTTGCACCCCTTGCACCATTTGCTTTAGCTTCTTGAGAAAGCTTGAACCCTTTGTCTTAGCTTCCTTAAGAAGCTTGACCCTTTGTCTTAGCTTCCACAAGAAGCTTGAACCTTTGTTCTAGCTTCTTGAGGAAGCTTGACCCCTTTGTGTTAGCTTCTCCAAGAAGCTTAGGCCCTTGTTTTGCTCTATAAAAGAGGACATTCCTTCTCCTTTAGAGAGGTTCAGCAAATCAGAGATATATATCACATATATCACTCTCTCTATATATATCTCTATCTCTCTCTACATTTGTGTGTGTTAGAGTGCCTTAAAGTGAGTTTTGTTCTTATTTTTGCACTAGAACACCTAGTGTTACACCATACTTGGGTTGTTGAGGTATTAAGAGGTTGTTCTTGAAGTTTTGAGTTGGTTTTGACCAAAAAAGGGGGCTGGGGTTGGTGTTCTTGAAGTGTTCTTCAAGGGTGAGCACTATTGCTTTATATTTTCCATTTTTGTACAAACTTTTAACCTATCTTGCATGCTGTTTTGAACTTTATGTATAACTGATAAAAGTTCTATTTTTTCATGTTTAAGATGTTTCATTAAGGTCACTTTTGTGTTTGGGGTTGTCCTCCCCCTCTTAGGCCTTGTTTGGCCTCTTTGTGTGCCTTCTTTTTTGAGCTTTGGAACTTTCATGTATTGGCCTTCTCATCACTGAAATCCAGAGGATTTTAGTGGTGGTGAAGTGGTTTTGAGGTCTTGTATAGGGGAGGGACACCCCTCTCCCTTTGTGTCTCATATGCTTGTGTTTAGGGCTCATAAAGGTAGCATGTTTGTTTAGCTTTACTTGGCTCCATTTCAGAGATTTTTTTGGTGTTATTTGGTCATATTATACCTCTATTTTTGGTCGGGTTGATAGTCCATTGCATGCATCATACACTTGCTTTGTAATCCCCTTTATTGCCATAACATGCATCTTGCATTTGGACCACCATGCTTGCATGTTTTGGCTTAACTTCGTGAAGTTTTTAGTCATGTTTTACCATGCTTGAGGTCTAACTTTGGTTGTCTTAGCCATGTTTGCCATGCTTTGTATAGCCTCTTTGCATTCTAGCTTGTAATCTTCGGGTGTGTGAGTCTTTAGCATGCATTCCTTAGGCTATTTCAGTGATTTGGAATCACTTACCATGCTATTTCAGTCTATGTTTTATGCTCGTATGCTTGCATCTACCACCCTTTCAATGTCTTGAAGAGTTGTGGTCTTATGCTCCATGTTTGGGCCATTGTGCATGCGTCTTTGTTTAAGTCATTTAGACGCCATCTAAGTGGGCTTTGGGGGTCATTTTGGCATATTATAACTTTGTTTTTCATCATATAATCCATGCCATGTTTGGTTGTGATAGTAGTAGTGGAATGCTCCCTTTTGTGGCCTTGAATGCCCTTTGTTTCGGGTTCATTTCTTAGCATGTTTTGGCCATATTCCGTGCATGTTCTAGCCTTATGTTGGTCTGCTCTAGGACTGATTTAAGTCATTTTGGCCCTTTGAGGCTTAGTTGGTATGGCTATGGTTTGAACCCTTTGGTTGGTCTCAAGCTTTGGGCCCCCTTTCCATGCTATGCTTCACTTGTGTGTTTGGGTTTGGCACTCCTCTTAGCATGGTTTCAGAGCTCAACATGATTGTAAAATGCCCATGTTTGTCTCTTTTAAGCATGCTTAGAATTGCCTCTTTCATGCCGTTGATGACGGGCCTTGGTGTTTGCATGCTTCCATGAGTGATTTGTGCTTTTGTTACATTATTCTTGGCCACTGTTTTGGGATGGGCTGAGGTCTTCCCATCTCGGTTTAAGTCCACGTTTGTATATAATTGCATGTTTGACATGTTGCATTACATTAGATGCATGCTTGCATTATATCATGTTTGCATGTTTGCATGTTGTTTAGCTAGTTGCATACCTTGTTTCATACTTGGCATATTAATGTGACATAAGCTTAGCTTGCATGATAGGTTGCATTGCATTTGGCATGCTTTGCTAACTTAGCCTCATATTGCATACTTGAGCCATTTTATATATTTGAGTCATATTGTATACATGCATTGCATTGTGTTTGGTTTGGGGTGTCAAGGCAAACATGAGGGATAAGGGACGTTCGTACTTGAAGTGACGAAACGTACCTCACTCCTCAGTTGCTGACGCTCTTGATCTCAACATGATAGGACGTGTAGCATTCATCCGTTTTGTTGCATTCATTTACATTGATTTGCAAACTTGACACCTTTGGCCATCATGCATTGAAATGCGTGATTGGTGGCCCGAGGGTCGAGAGCCATACTCCCTTGAGTCCGCAGCATGATAGGGAGAGTGGTTGTGCATACATTACTTTGAAAACACCTTGCCATGCACTGTCTGTCCTCTGCTGCAGCAAAACAGGATTCTGCAGGAACAGATGGCCGGTCGGCCACATTTCGTACCGGCCGGCTACCAAAATATAGTCGGTGGCTCCTTTTATGGTCGGTGACAACTTTCCCATGGCCGGTGGTCTTTTATCTTGGCCGGTGGCATCCTATGCTGATCAAAGGGTGGTTCAAAAGCAATATTGGGATTTGTGCAAGTCTCAGAGGCGCAGAACAGTGCAAATAGAGGCAACAGTGGCATGGCAACGGGTTTCCAGGCGAGGCGAATTGAGCATGCATCATCCCATGATTTTGAAGTGGGGCTGTGGCCACCTTCCTTCTGTAATTAATTTATTAATTAATTAGAAGTTTTGTAATATCCAATTAGCTAGAGTAGTTAATTATTTTTTTGGTTTGTATTACTTATTCGGACCCTCCGAGTGAGGGCAATAGTTGTAATAAGCGTGCGTGTATGTGATGCATGTCTTTCAACCCCCACTTCTTTCTCATTTTTACTTACCTGCTTTTGATGGTTAGTATTAGGGCATGTTTGATTTAGCATACCTTATGCTATGCATGCGTGCATCTATTCATTTGTATTGCATGCACCGGGCTCGGCGCATCATACTAACTGCATAGTATTTCAATTCCAAATTAAATACATGTTATCTGTGCATCTCATATGCCATTTTAGATTAGCCGAGCCTATTCTAGTTGCATTTTTGCCTGCGATGCATTAGCCATCTTAACATGAGTTAGGATCATGCATTTGATTACTAACTAGCTTCTATTTTGGCTCGGAGTACTAGGTGAGCATTTACGCTTTAGCATATTGAATACGTGTGAATGTTGCCATGAAAGCATGCTTGCCATGAGGCTAATTGCTTATGTGATATAACTGCCTGAATGCCTGTGGGTGAAGGTTGGGTTGCTTGCGTTGGAATAATTCGTCGAAACCCGTGTTTTAGCCTACTTGCGAGTAGCAAAATTCAATCTATTTTCAAAACAAACGGATATGCGATGCTTTGTTCCAACTTAGGCAATCCAGTCAATACTTGTATGCTGTATGCATCGCATAGTAATTCTAGGCTAATAACCGGAATAAGAGCACGTAATGTTTTCAAAACTCGATATCATGGTTAATAGAGGCCGATCTTTGATCGGGCGAGCGGGGGTGCTTATAGCTGACCTTCCTCAATCGTACCCAAGTTCCCGAGCTGAGGTAACTTTGGTGATGACGGACACGTGACCTTAGGCAATGAGTCAGGGTTTCCTAAATTTTCAAAAATAAA